TTTTTGGTTTTTCTCCGGTACCGGGAACTGAACTCACGACCTTGCGCTTGCCAGGCAGGCGCTTTGCCGCTGAGCTAAATCCCCAGCCCCTGGCTTCGGTTGTTTTTGAGACAGAGTTTTGCTATATAGTCCAGGCTGGCCTTGAACTCATAGCAATCCTCCTGCCTCAGCCTGCGGAGTGCTGGGATGACAGGTGTGCACCGCCATGCATGACAGCCCTTTTTATTTTTTATTTTGTGACAAGGTTTCTCTAAGTCACTAAATTGCCTTGGCTGAGTTCAAATTTGCAGTACTCCTGCCTCAGCCTCCCAGAATGCTGGGATTGCAGGTGTGCACCACCAGGTCCAGCATGTGTGTGTGTGTGTGTGTGTGTGTGTGACGTCTATTCACATGCACTACGAAGGAAAGCATATGAGAGTTAAGAATTTTAGATCTGTATTTTTTTATTTTAAAGAGAAACAATAATACAGAAGTTATCTTCAAAGTAGTCACTCAGATTACAAGATACAGGCATGCAAAACTGATCAGACAATATAAGTGCAAACTGTTCCTTTCAATAAACTAATAGAGGCAGGAGTGGTGGCACACACCTGTAATCCCAGCACTCAGGAGGTTGAGGCAGGAGGATTGTTGCTGGTTCAAGACCAGCCTGGGCTACAAAGTACACTCAAGGCCAACCTGAACTGCATAGCGAGACCCTGTCTCAAAAAGACAAAAATAAATAAATAAATAAAAATAAACTAATAGAAATTAGTAGTACAATTATCTTAGCTAGCTTGTGTATGTATGTGTGTATATATATATCTATATATATATATTTCCCCCCGCTTCTTTCTTTTCTCCTTTTCCCCATCCCAGTTTTTCCTTTTGAGCAGTTCCTTTCCCTGTCACAATATCTGTTGTACGTTTTGGATCTTATTTACTCGTTCAGTTTCTAACACTAGGGAGACAATATGATGTTCACACATGCAAGTCTGATTTATTTCACTTATGAGTGTGGTCTCTAGTTGCATCCATTTACCTATAAAAGCCTTGAGTTTGTTTATAACTGACCAGTACTCCACTGTACAAAAATACCACATCTCTTTTATCCATTCCTCAGTTGATGGGCATTTGGGTTGTTTCCAGGACTTAGCTATCACAAATTGTGCTGCTATAACATGGGTGCACATATATCGCTGTGGTACAGTGTTTTCAGTTGTTCTGGGAAAATACCGGGGAGGGGAATAGCTGGGTCAGATGGGACCTCTAGTCCTAGTTTTTGGTTTTGTTTTGTTTTGTTTTTTTGTCTTTTGTCTTTTTGAGACAGGGTCTCACTATGCAGTTCAGGCTGGCCTTGAGCTCACTTTGTAGCTTAGGCTGGCCTCGACCTCCCAACGATCCTCCTGCCTCAGCCTCCCGAGTGCTGGGATTACAGGCGTGCGCCACCATGCCCGGCTAGTCCTAATTTTTTGAGGAATCTCCACACTGATTTCCACAGTGGTTGCACCGGTCTGGTACTCTGCACAGTTAGAGAAACCTCTCTAGTACCGCGCTATAGAAATGGTTCCTGAAACTGTAGCCTGAGTGCTTGTTAGTTTAATATGGAGCGCTTCACAAATTTGCATGTCACCCTTGCATAGGGCCACACTAATCTTCTCTGTATTATTCCAATTTTAGTGTATGTGCTGTGGAGGCGGGCGCTGTTTGTTTTTCACACACGGTCTCACTATATAGCCCAGGCTGGCCCCAAACTCACAGGGATCCTCCTGCCTCAGCCTCCGAGTGCTGGGACTACAGGTGTGCACCACCTGTCTGGCTGAGTTTTACATCTTTTGCTGTATGGAGAAAGTGAGTGCAGGGAAGAATCAGGGCTGATGATTAGTTCCTTTTAAACTCAATGTACCCATAAAACAGGCCGGGAGATTACAATGGAGGCCCTGGCAGTTGCCTTCAGCCTGCATGGTCCTTCAAACCCATCCTCTATCCCAAGCACAGCTGCTCCACCAACCCCACCTCCGGGAGCCCAGCTGCCCTGACCCTCATGTGCAGGGGCGGAGTGTGCTCTTCTGCCTTCTGCACCTGGGGACATCACCGTGCTGCAGCCCCAGCCAGTTGACAATGGGCTTTTAACTTAAGCAAAAGGAGCCAGGCGTGGTGGTTCACACCTGTAATCCCAGCACTCGGGAAGCTGAGGCAGGAGGATCGTTGCGAGTTCGAGGCCAGCCTGGGCTACAAAGTGAGCTCAAGGCCAGCCTGAACTGCATAGCGAGACCCTGTCTCAAAAAGACAAAAAAAAAAACTTAAGCAAAAAGGCGGAGGATGGTGGCCTAAGTCATCTCAGGGCTGAGCAGCCTCGGGAGGAGCAAGGAGGCGGCTGGGCCCAGGACGGGGTTGGAGGTGACCCGCAGCAATGGTGCATCAGCAACACTCAAGACATGAAAGTGGGTAACACGAATTACCCGTATGCTTGGTGGAGTCTCTTCTTGCCACGAGCTCCGGCCACCTCTTGCCACCTCTCCAATGAAAGGACCCTAAAGGCCACAGTCTGGGAATGGACCCCTATTTCAGAACAATCGAGGCCCAGTGAGGGAAAGTGACTTGTCCAAGGCCACAGAGCTGGTAAGGGCCCCTCGCTCTGCCCTGGGACCCCCGCCCCAAGTTGGCTCTGACCCACGGTGAGGTCCAGGTGAGCAGGGTGGGGGCTCCCAGAGGGAGCAGGCTTGGCGCTGAGCAGGCGCCCGGGGCAGGGTAACCCCGCCTGAAGTCACGTCTCCCCAGTGGTGACGCCAGGAGCAAGCCAGACTGCCAGGGCGGCACAGCTGAAGGCCGGGCGAGCCGAGGCAGGGCCCGGTGAGTGTCTAGCAGCAGGGGGAAAAGCGGGGAAACGGGGCTAGAGATGAATCCGTATCCCCAGCCCAAGCGCGGTCGGTGGCCAAAGGCCCGGGTGCCTTGAAAACCGGACTAGAGGCCACAGGCTGGGAAAGTGCCTTCCTTGACAGATGGGAAACTGAGGTCAGGAGAGGGCAGTGGCTACGTGACACAGCAACTGAGGACAGATCCAGGACCAGAACCGGCCCGTCCCCGGGAACCATGCTCCGAGTAGTAGTCGCTCAGATTACTCCAGCCAGGTTCCTAGGACGCCTTGGGGTCTCTCGCACCCCACTGGGCTGGGTGGCAGGAGAGGCACACAGGCTAGCGGGCAGCGGGGGCTGTGCCCCAGGGGGCCCCAGGACTTGGAGTGGGAGGACGAGGAGCGCTGCTTGGAGCCCTCCTCCCGCAGGCCGACCGCAGCCTTATCTCCTTCAGCCACTACTGAATTTCCAGGAATTTTACAAGCCAACTTTTAAAGCCAGTCATTATTAAAGTATTTAAACTCGCATGAATCCGCCCTACTCATCGCCTCCTCATTACTTCACCTGGCCGTGCTGCAATCTGCGCTCCTGGGTTACCCGGGAGATGCGGGACCAACGGCTCCTGTGCTCCCCCCCAGGGACCTCACCTGGGAACGCGGTGGGGACACTGACAGCATGGACCTCAGCAAATGCTGTGGACGCAGATCCTCCCAGGAGTCCAGCTCTGACCCAAGGAAAGGGAGCTGCCACCCTTGGGCCTGCTGCGTCCTTTTCTGGACCTCCCTGCCTCCCTGCAGCCCAGCAGAATCTCCATCCTCTCCCTTCCTGAAGGCTCTTGGCACCCATGCCTGGCCCTCCCGCATGCCTCCTATGAGAGACCCTCCCCGTACCGTTGCTGCTGAGGTGGTTCCAGGTGTCTGTCTTTGAGCAGGAATGCGACACCCAAGTGAACAGGGTTTCTCTCTGTCCCACCCTGGCTGTATTCCAGCAGCTAGTGCAGTGCCTGGCACGTAATAGGTGCTCAATAAATGTACAGAGAGAAAGACACAGTGGCTGTCATGGTTTGCGTCTGGATGTCCCCCCAAAGACTCACACAGTCATGGGGTGGGCTCTTCAGAAGTGGCTGAATCTAGGGTGTGATCGATTCATGGTGCAATGCTGGGATTAAGGGTGTGAGTGCTACATGCACCATAGGGCGGGCAGCCTGCATACAATGTAAGGGGCAGGAAGAGGCTTAGCCCTACTTCCCCTTTATTGCTTTAGTGGTTTTCCACAGCCATGAACAGTGGCCCCTCTGCCATGTGCCACCCTGCCTTGGAGCCAGCCAATGATGGACTGAAACCTCCACAAACTGTGAGCTACTGGCACATGTCTATAATCTCAGAACATGGTAGGCTGAGGCAGGAGGATCACTGTGAGTTCAAGGCCAGCCTGGGCTACACAATGAGACCCTGTCTCCAGAAAAAAGCACAGAGTCTGTGAATGGATCCATAGAAGGGCAGAGAAGAACTAAAACCAGTCACTGCTCACGTGATGGGATCGAAGGGAAAGGTTCCTCCCCGCTCCACTCCGCCTGCCAGGTGTCCCCAGGCCATGGCTCCCTCCCCTGCCCTCCCCACTTCCAGCCTGTGCTCTGGCTCATCCCACAGCACCCTTCCCACCCCCAGGGCTTGTGGGGAGCAAGCAGGAGGAATTCCTGGCCCCGAGTCAGAGGAGGTGCCCCGGCAGGCAGGCGGGAGCAGTGTGTTCGCCAGGGATCGCTTGAATTCCAGCTCCCACAGCCGCTGGGCGGCCGCCAAGTGGGGCCAGGAGAGGCAGGCACCCCATCACGGAAGCCAACAGGGCACCGGGAGGCTGGGCAGGTGGCACTGAGGCCTCCAGGGACCAAAGTCGGCTCCTGACCCATGAGTGGCCGGATGGCCAGGGACACTTTGGAGGCAAGATGGGGGATGGAGCTGGTGTCAGTCTGCAGCGAGAGACCAATATCCAGGAGGAAGAGTGTCTGGGCTGGGTCAGACCCAGGGAGCCCCGGGCTGAAGGCTCTGCCCAAGGTGGGCCTGGTCCGCTTAGCCCCTGTGCACTGAGTGGGCAGCAGGAGGAGTCGCCAGGAGGGCAGAGCCAGTGGCCTGCTGGGCCCCCTGCTGTCCCTGTCCCTGTCCCTTCCCCTTCCTGGGTCACGGCCAGGTGTGATAGGCTCAGGCAGCAGCCCCTGCCCAGCTGTCAGCACAGAAGCTGCCACCAACGCCCACACCAGCGCACCTGGCCTTCACCCCCACCGCCACTGCCACCACCCCTCTCCCGGCCCCCGGCACTGCGACACTCCCAACCCACAGCATGGCGTTACAACTACGGACAGCCGGGACCAACTTATAGAACCAAAGCACTGTTGTGTTTGCGATTGGGGGTGATGAGATGGGGTCTCACTATGTAGCGCAGGCTGGCCTCAGTTGCACAGCGATCTTCCTGTCTCTGCCTCTGCCTCTGCCTCTTCAGTGCTGGGAAACAGCTGTGCGCCACCACGCCCACCTACCATGGTACCTCCGAACTAGAAAACTAAAACCATATTCTGACCGCCAGAAAAATCCCAGGGCCTGGGAATAGGGCAACATTGTCCACCCCAGGCCCAAGAACTGTTAGAACCAGATAATTTCAGGGACACTGCATCTTCCAGAAATTAGGATGGAGGAAGCCTGAGGGGCTCCTAGAACCATAGTTCCTCAGTAACAATCCCATCGTTCCGGGGGACAGGACACCACCCAGACTAATGGATCTCCAAGCCAAGCACGGAACAAAGCCCCTGGAAGGACACGGGGGAGAGAGGGTCGCTTCAAGTACAACCAGAGGGCAGGGCCTCTCCTCCTGCTCAGGAGGCTCCCCTCACCTTGGCTGAGAAAGAAGCCAAGAGAAAGAATGCGGATGCCAAGGCTCGAGGCTCGGCGGGTGTGTGGTCACCGGGGGTGGCGGGATCTCTCCCCTCCCGTGGGGCGTTGGGAGCTTGGAATTTTCTCCTGGCAGGAAGGGCCCACCCTCCTCGGAACGGAGAACAATCCTTGGCATCTGGCCCCGGAGGCATGCGAAGCCTTTGACAATCAACCATTATTACTCTCTGCCCTGCCTCCAGCCTGGTGCAGAGGGGAAACTGAGGCAGGTGGGGTCTTGGACTAAAGCATCTGAGTTGGGCCCTGGTGGATCCCATCCCTGACTGCAGAATGTCAGGGTAGAGGCGATGGTGGGGTGAGTCGCCCCGGCAGGGGAGTGGCAGCTGAGACCACAGAGGGCCATGGTTTCCCCAAAGTCAGCCAGTGCTGCTGCTCATTTGTTCTGTGTTTTGAGACAGGGGCTTGCTATGTAGTCCAGACTGGCCTGGAACTTGTGATGCTCCTGCCTCAGCCTCCCGCATGCTGGGATTACAGGTGTGCACCACCACGACTGGCTCCATGGCTGCCCCTTCCGCCTTACTGAGGCTCACACCAGTTCCCTTGCTGCAGGAAGCCCTCAGATCTTTCCCCAGCCCCCGCAGCGCCTCTTGCCATTTCCTGTGACACTGTCTCCTCCTTCCTGTCTGTGCTCTGATGTCTCCCCATCTGCCTGGACCCAGAAGCCAAGGGCGGCAGCCTCCAAGCCTCTGCTGAAACCTCCCTTGACTGTCCGCTGTGCAGGGCAAAGTCCAAGCAGCCAGGGGCACAAGGAGCCTGGACTGGCTCCCTCTGGCCCAGTGCCTGTCCTGCCTAGCATGGCCCCCCTGCCCACCCCTGCAGCCCTTTCCCTCCCCACCTTTGCTGGGCCTGTCACCCGTGCCTGGGTGTTCAGGGCACACCTTCCTGGGAGCCCTCACTCCACTTCAGCCCTTGGGCATCCTGGCTTGGTTCATCACATCCGGGCAACAACAGGAAGTGGAACTAGAGTCTTCTCCCCTTTTCTCAGGTTGGGAGACTGAGGCACAGTGTGGTTGACTCACTTTCTCAACAGCACACAGTAAGGCACAGAGCTGGGATGGGAACCCTGGAGGTCAATCTAGATCCCATGTGCAGCCCCTTCAGGTCCCATACCCGGGGAGGGGATGGACAGGGAACCTGACCCCACAGCCTGGGGTGGCTGGGCCAGGGGCCCCCAGCTCAGCTCCCAAGGCCCTGAGACGTGCCCTGTCCCAGAAGCCACCCCACCCCCACCCCACACAGTCACGTGCAGACCAACAGCCCCACACGGCCACACACACAGCCACGCAGGGCCAGGGACACAGACGCCTGCCTCCGCCCGGCCCCGCCGCAGGAAGCCCTCCGCTGCCCAGGCCTCTTTCACTTCTGCTTTTCCTAAATCTGTGCTGAGGAACTCACTGCTGCCTTGAGGTTCCTGCCTCTCTCTCACGCACTGCAGACCACATCCCGCCCGCCCCACTTCTCTGGAAGCCTGGAAAACGGTGACCAAATTCACGTTCCCTGCCCTCACCAGCCAGACCAGCAGCTGTTACCTCGAGGGACAGTGGCCAGGCGGGCGGGGGGTGGTGGTGCAGGCAGTGGGTGGGGCAGAGGATGCAGCAGCTGCACATGTTTGGAGGGGACTAAAGGGCCAGGAAGAGGGATACCCAGTGCAAAGGCCCTGAGGCACAACTGGCCTGCCCTGTTGCAGGGCAGAGCAGCGGCCAGTGGGGCCATGAATGAGGGCGGGGCAAAGAAGGAGGTGAGACCAGGCAGTGTCAGGGCCAGGGCCACTGTGCTGACTTGGGCTTGGAGCACAGGAGGGATGCAGTTTGAATAGGATCTTCTAGCTGTTGCTGTTTTGTTTTTTGAGATAGAATCTCACTGTGTAGCCTAGGCTGGCCTTGAACTTGCAGTGATCCTCCTGCCTCAGCCCCCTGAGTAGTTCGGATTACAGGCATGTGCCACCACTCCCAGCTTAACACTTGCATGTTTTAAATGAATCAAGATATCTCACATGCAGGGGCTGGGGATTTAGCTCAGCGGCAAAAGCGCCTGCCTGGCAAGTGCAAGGTCGTGAGTTCGGTTTCCGGTACCGGAGAAAAAAAACCAAAAAAAAAAAAAAAAAAAGATATTTCACATGCATGGGAAAGAAACAAGAAAGTATCACATTTTGGGCATTTTTCTGTGACTTGCTTTTTTGCAGTGACACTAGAAGGTTCCTCCTGCCATAGGGTGAGCAGCTCTAGTTTCTGGTTCTTCATGGCACGCCAGAGCTCCTCGGCCAAGGCCACACTTTCTTTTTTCATGGCTCTGGTCAACTGACTTTTGGATTGTCCTCAAGACTCCGAAGTAACGAAACTTTCAAACATTAGCTAGGCATGGTGGTCCTGAAATCCTAGCACTTGGGAGGCTGAGGTAGGAGGACTGCCATGAGTTCAAGGCCAGCTTGGGCTATGTAGTGAGTTCAAGACCAGCCTGAACTGCATAGCGAGACTCTCTCTAAAAAAATTCAAAAAGCCAGATTGTCCCTTTTCCCAGTGAAGAAGAAATCTTAAAGTGAAAGCCCCCACACTTTCTATGTTGGCTTCACCTAATTTTATTTTGTGACACTGAGGCCACACCAAACATCACTGTGGGCAGGTCTGGCCCTTAGACTCAGTTGCTGCCACTGGCTTCTTGGATAAAATCAAGGGCTCAGGAGCACGAGGCCAAGCAGAACATTTTGCCAGCTGTGGGTCCAGGGGGGAGCCAGCGGCCTTTTCTGAGGCCTGGCTCTGCCATCTGTGAAAGGGCAGTATGTTACCTTCTCATAGGGTGGCCTGACTCCCGCCAACCACTGCCTGACCCCAGAGGGGCCGTACAGTGAGCAGAGATTCCCTGCCAGCACCTGCATTGGGCACATCATACTTGCCCGGCTGAGCAACCCACACCCAAAGGCTGAAATCCAAAATGCCCCAAATCCAAAACTTTTTTTTTTTTTTCCGGTATTAGGAATCAAACTCGGGACCTCACACTTGCCAGGCCGGCGCTGTACCGCTAAGCTATATCCCCGGCCCTCCAAAGCTTTTTGAAAGCTACTATGACACATCGTATCTTCAGATTAGGAACGCTCAATAGTAAA